TAATTAATTACTTTTGAAAATAAGTAATCAGTAAAGTAACGGGATTACTTTTTTGGGGAAGTAATCAGTAATTAGTTACTGATTACTTTTTTCAAGTAACTTGACCAACACTGACCAGCAGTGTGGAACTGACTGTTGGAGGTAGCCGGAGAGAAGCCGTGCAGACACGTGGGAAAACATGCAAACAAAGAAAGAAATCTATGACGGACTGTCAGAGCTACATTCAGGAACAAATGTGTCCCTAGTTCTCCTACATACACTCGAAAAAAATAGAATTACTTTAAAGTTAGCGTGTCAGCACAGCCAGTAGCTCTGAGTCATTCACAGAGGTGGCAAAAGTACAGACTCTCTTTACTTGTAATACATAAAGATTTTTTTAAATGTTTTTATGGATGATGCACTGATTGGAAACCGCTTTTAATAATAATAACAGATTGCATTTATATAGCGCTTTCGGGGCCCTCAAAGCAGGTGGTAGGTGAAGCGTCTTGCCCAAGGACACAACCAGCGAGACTGTCCGAGTCATGGCTTGAACCGGCAACCTTCAGGTTACAAAACAAACTGCAAACTCTTTGAGCCACGATTGCTCTCGTACCTGCAGCAATGACAATAAAGACATTCTGATTAAAAATACTCCAGTAAAAGTTGAAGCACTGAAGCAACTTTTTCACTGAAGTAAAAGTGAAAAAGTACTGCTCTGAAGTATACTCAGCATAGGAAAGTAACAAGTAGTTCCTTGAAGGACAAGTCTACAGTTACAAAGGAAACTGAACCTCGTGCTGTATGAAACAAAATTAGTACATGAAAATGCAAATATTAATCCAATGTAATTCTGTATGAACTCAGTTTGAATCTGTTATGTAGGAAACCCGCACTGACAGAGAATTAAAAAATAACGAGTTTCTGTTGTCAAGATTACACAGTGTGACTTCCCTCCACACCTAAACAGACTGTGCACAGTCACAGTGGACTGTGGATTCAGTGGGTGGGGAACCCGAAGATCAGTGTAATGATTCCGTGTGGGGAAAACAATCAAACTATCGATCATTTCTACTGAGAGCTGCAGAGGATTGTGTTGGTGTGCAGGCTGTGATCAGCTGACCTGCTGTCTCTGTGGATGTACACCTTTAGTCTTTTGGGTTATTTCGGGTGAACTCCGTGGCTTTTCAGTCTCAACACGTAAAGTGTAAAGTCCGTTCTTGTGAGGTGCTTAGCACAGACCTGGAACCCTGCTCGGATTCAAACCCGGGACCTTCTTGCCTTCGTGCCGTTGAGCCATCATCGTCCATACTGATGAAGCGTGTCGGCCCTCTGGGTGTCGCTAAAACCGAACCTACATGTTGTTGATGCTCAGGATAGGACTGCTACGTCATTACGCACAGCCGCAGGTTGACGTGCGCGTGCTCGATAGGGAGCTTTACTATGTAGTTAGGTGAGGAGCGCGCACCTCCGTGCTGCGTTTAAGCGTTAAACAGTTTAAAAGTGGGTCCACGCACCGGCGAAGCGAAGGCACCGACAGCAGCTGGGCTACGGACAGTCAGGACACCCCGGACCGGAGGACTGCACCGTCTGCGGTCGCTGCCAGCGGAGCTCCCCAGTGGACGGACTCAGCTTCCTCCTTCAGGTCAGTGCGACCCGCGGCCTCTCCTCTCCGAGAGTCCGCGGCTCGGGGCCGCTGCTGGGTGTCGGTGTGGGGGTGGAAACGATCCGATCTCCACCCGCAGCGTCTCCTCAAACTTCCTCCGTGTCCTCTGGAGTATCGACGTGCCGCTCCGTCCTCCTCTGCTCCCCGCTAGTTAGCTGCAGACGCTAGCTAGTTAGCCAGGTGTTTGATGAGAGCGAGCGGCTGCAGCTAGTAGCATGCTAACTAGCGCTGCGGCAGCGAAGTTTGTTTTCGTGTAGCTCGGTTGTTTGTTTGTAAACAGCGCACTTGTGCAGGACACTTTGTTTACCGAGTGTGGCTGCGGGTGTGGCGGAGCTCCAAGCCGCTCCCAGCTGGGTTACCGATTAATGTTCGCCGTTAGCAGGGCGGAGGCCCAGGAGGGTGGGAAGTTTACAGGCTGTTAGCTGCTAGCTGTTAGCCTCGGAGTGCAGACTCAGCAGCTGGCGGTCGGTTTGGCCCGAGTCTGTCCCGGTCTGATCTGAGACTGAGCTCCCACAGGGTCTAATGTCCTCATGATGATTATAAAATCACTTTAGAAACAGACATTCCTCTAAACTCTGTCACACCCTGAGATGAGTCAGAGCCCACAAACACTCTGTGTGTGTGTGTGGACGTTATCAGCTGGTGTCTCTGTCTTCAGCCCGTGGAGATCACAGCATGTGAGTGAACACAGTTTTTGTGATACTCGCTCCTCTTCTGGATCCTCGGGGTCTTCACAGGACTTTGAGCCTCTGCTGGAGAAACCATCAGGACCTTGTTCCTCAGCAGCTCCCTCCTCTGCTTGTGTTAAACCTGACCACTCATATAACCTGTTAATGTGGTGCTTTCTTGGCTGTAAATGGACTTTAGTCTCAGGGGTTTCCTGGTTAAGTAAATAGAAGAATCAGTGGCCTGAAACACAGACCTCTGTCATTTGTACAGAATGTTTTAGACTCCTGATCAGTGACTCAGCACTAAAGATGCTAATGATTAATCACTGATCTAAAGAAGCTTTTAATTTGAAGGCTCAGGACACTGCAGAGTTACAGATCTGCAGTGTGACACAATTAATTTGGATTCTAATCAACTTTTTGTGGAGATGTCATACAGATTATTATCATGAATGTTACAAATGTAAATGAGGTCACGTGCCTGAGCGCTCCTGCTCACCCTGAAGGGAACAGGCGTCGGACAGGCTGGGACACAGTTAGGACGCCACTCGGTGGACGGCAGCATGTCTTAGAGATGAAACCATAGGCAGATGTTGGTGTTTGTTTATCTTTACCTTCGCCCGTGTCAGATCAGACCTGACGGCCTCAGGCTGCTGGATCAGTGTTCCATCAGGGGAAGGTGGAATATAAAAACTTCAGTATCATCGTAAAATCCCCAAACAATCAATAATCTCCTGTTAACACAGTAAATAATGAGGCCTGCAGTGCTCCAGCATAAGCTCGCTGTCTGTTCTTTAATCAGAGTCAGCATCTGGCTCATTAGCATTAACAAAGCTTTGAAATGATCCCTGTTTAGACTGACTCGGCTCGTGTATTGATCCTGATCAGGATGTCTCTGACTGGTTCACGTCAAACAAAAGAGAAGGAAGCTGCAGATCCAGCAGCAGGAGGTTTCAGGAGAGGGAGGAGGGAAATGCCTCCACTCCATCCCCCGCTCGGGCTCCTCGGTGTGTGTGGTTAACAACACTTAAACTCCCAGAGAGCAGCCATTTGGCTTTTCTACCTATAAAACCCAGAGAGCAGCCAAATGGCTGGTAGGCTTTTAGCTAAGCTTTAGCTTCAGCCAAGTGGAAGCTAAATTGGCTAGTCATTCATATGTATATTAGGTTGTTACCTGGGAATTGTGGAGGGAGGGGAGTGGGGGTGTGTGATTGAGGGGGTGGGGGAACTGCTAAAAGCTGTGCACTTCCTTTTGTGTTTCATCTTGATGCATTCTCAATCATCCAGGGAAATAAATCTCCAAAAGTCACCAACTTGGAGTGTTTCAGTTTGCCATCTTAGGGAGAAATCAACACACATAGGTGTATGTCCTTTGTTGCTAAGATTTATTGATAAAAACAGTACAAAAAACCAACCATTTGTACACATATTTACAAATGGCCTGCTGAGTGGTGCATGGAGCATGTTCATTGGTTCATGGACCTCCCTGAACTAATGGCATTTTTGCAATTGTCATCTTGCGGGGGGGGGTTAACAGGGTTCCATCTCTAAATGACTGCTGGTCAGCAAACCTGGGAAACCCACAGATAATTGGAACTATGGCACGAAACCGCTTCCAAGACATCACGCTGAAGCGTAGGTGTTGCATGATGCCTCTGTCAGTGCGCCCCAGGGTGGCTGTGGCTACAATGTAGCTTGCCATCACCAGTGTGTGAATGTGTGTGTGAATGGGTGGATGACTGGTTGTGTAAAGTGCTTTGGGGTCCTTAGGGACTAGAAAAGCGCTATACAAATACAGGCCATTTATATTTACCATATCTTGGAAGCGGTTTCGTGCCATAGAAAGAAAAAGAACAAAGTGTACTTTATTGATCCCCGTGGGGAAATTCCTCTCTGCATTTAGCCATTAGGCGCCCGGGGAGCAGTGTGTAGAGATGGTACCTCGCTCAGGGGTGCCTCAGGGTAGCTGTTCAGGGGAATCAAACCCCCGACCTTCCGATCATGGGCCCACCACTCTACCTACTGAGCTATCCCTGCTGTCCTTTTTTTACGTGTTGAGCAGAAAGGGGTGAAAACGTGAGGCTACAGGACACCTGCAGTCCTGTCACACCTGTGCAGGTGAGCAGGTCCATGTCATTCAGGTTTCTCCTGAACTCTTCCTGTTGTGGGAGCAGGAAGCACCTGCAGATCATCTCAGCTGGGAGACGTGGCTGGAGTTAATCAGCTATGAAGCTGTGAGGAGAAACGGCTGGTCACTAAACTGTCAGCTTTTATTTTGAAATATTTACAGTTTCCTGCTTCAACAGCACAAACGCACACCAGTGCGCACTCTTGTGTTTGTGCGCCTGTGTGTGTGCTGAACACACTGTGACCGGCTCCTTATATAGACAGAGAGGACAGAGCTGGCAGCTGATTGGCTGTCAGGTATCATGAGCTGGTGTCTCACTATAGACGCAAGCTGCAGGTTTGTCTGATGAACGGCGAGCTTTTCCTGCAGGCTGTGAGCTCACTGCTGCTCCGCGTGTCGTAAACTGACTTCTGGCCCTGCTGGTTCACTCCCAGTCCTCCCAGTCTGAGTCTGCATGTCTGATCCAGCTGTTGTAGAACATGTTTTCATTTCATTTTGAAGATATTGACGATTATGAAGCTGCTTACGGTGTGAGGATTATACACCTGGGCCGTGACCTCAGGTGTGTGTGTGAGTCACTGATGTGTTGGTGTGTGCTTGTTTTTTCCTGCAGGGTGTGTGTGCGGTCACATCCTGACTCCTTTGGAGACCTTGGCGCAGGAGAAACAGTGCCTGGTTTAGCTTCCTGTGTGGGAGGAGTCAAGGCGAACGTCTGAGAAATGTGAAGCTGAAGGATCAGCGGAGCTGTCACTCAAACCAGTACCACGCCCCCCAGCACCACCACCGGCCAATCAGCACACAGAGTGGAGGTAAACACAGTTAGCATTGTGTAAAAGTGACGCAGAGAAACACATGACTACAACTCCCAAGATGCTGTGCGACAGATCAGAGCTCCGGGTTCTGATTCTGGATCAGTTTGTTCACATCACCACTTCGGCAGTCATCTTGAAACACCACTGGGCGGCTGTTTTGAATCTAAAGAGCTGACCGGGACATGAATACCTCAGAAACGCTGCTGATGACACAGCTGTGCCTCATCCCTCGCTGCATGCGTGTGACCTCTGACCTCCGTGTGCTCCCAGTGTGTTTTATACCTGGCTCTGATTGGCCGCCCTGCTGCGGTTTGTGTAATCCTAATTGTTCTCAGGCGCAGTGCCGACGGCCTGGAAACCAAACTCCTCTTGCTCAGAAACCTTAGCTCGTCTCGCTGTGGATCCGCATCTGATTGGATGAGAGCCGACTTCACTGCTACTGTGTTCAAACGGGCTTTTTGTTTCTGAGCAAGGTTGTGTAACTGTGATGTGTCCGTACAAACACACCTTTTTCACGGGTTACATCATCACTGAGGTCATCCTGCAAACCCAGAGCTCTGAGTGCGTCCTGCCTCTGTAAGCTTCACAAGGTTGTATAAGCTCTGTGCACGCGGGACACTTCACACGGAGCTGTCTGCACGGCCCGGCTGGTATTTGCAGGGTTTATCCAAGCCAACTTTATTCATAATGGGCTTTAAAACAGCTTTTATCTGCTGGGAAAGCTGTTCTTACGGCGATGCTGCTGCTGCAGTATTAAAATCCTGCTTTAAATTCATGAATGTGGGCGTTGTCTCGTCACCTGTGCGGGTTCAGTTCAGAGATGAGTCCAGCTGAGGGGTTCAGACATGTCCTACTGGGAGGACGCGCTGGACACATAATGTCTCTCAGCTGGCCTGGGAACACCTCGGTGTTCCCTCAGCTGAGCCCGAGGAAGACTATGTTCTCCCAGAAAGAACCTGACACGGCCGTCGGGGAGCAGGAAGGTCCTCCTTCACTCACAGCTGTAAACCTGATGGCGCTCCTTTAATCTGTCTCTTCTCACCATGGTTATTATCGTTAACGAAAACTAGAAGTGAAAAAACATTTTCGTTAACGAAAATAAAAACAAAAAAAGGAAAACTAACTAAAATGAACTGAATTTATAGCAAAAATGTGTTTAGTTTTCATTGATGTGTGCGTGTCATACAATAGTCAAGGGTGAAAATGAAGTTTAGTTTCCAGGTTTGTTTTCTTGCTGCGTCTCATTATGCCAGCAGGTGGCAGTACGTTAGTCGAGTCGTCTGTGCTGCTCCGTCCACGCGCAGAATCATGTCAGGAAAAGTCGGGAGAAAGCGCCAGAGTCCAATTTGGGATTACTTTGAATATGACTGTGTTTTGGATAAAGCAAGTGTCTTGTAGTGGAAAGAGACAAATTATGAGGGACATTTCTAAAGGGAAAAAATCCCAAAAACCTTAAAGTGCACTTGAAAAGCTCACACAAGAAGGCTAACCTAGCTTACTTTGAGAAGGTAAGGGAGCACACTCAACCCTCATCCCCAGAAAACAGAAGCTAACCCCAGGCAAGGCAGCGTGATGCATCCCGAGACAACAGGACGGGGACATCTACATAACTGTGACTCAATTGCCTTCAAAAAGTTTATCAATTCACTTGAACCAAAATTACGAACACCCGGTGCTGCAAGAGTTAATAGTTTCACTGGGGCCAAGAAATACATTTTATAGTTGCCTGGTATCAATGGTTGTTCATCTGCCTTTATTTATTTATTTTTTATTTATTTATTTATTTAAAGAACCCATAGGTGGGAATGTGAGTTGTCTGTCTCTGCGTGTTAGCCCTGCGACAGACAGGCGACCTGTGCAGGGTATGGTAGCTGTAATAGCAACATACCAAGGATAAGCAGAAGAGCATGACTGATATGATGAAACTGGGATTTTGTTACACTTAATTATTGCAAACACAACTAAAACTATAACTGACACTAATCAAAACTAAACTGAAACTAAGGATTTTCAAAAAAAATAAAAACTAAACTAAACTAGCAAACAATTGGTAAAAACTAATTAAAACTGATATAAAATTGAAAATCTGAAGTCAAAACTAAATCAAAATAAAAACTAATGAAAATTGCAAAACTATTAAAACCCTGTGTCTCACCCTGAACGGCTGAGACGCAGGCGTGACAGGGAACTCTGCCGGTCATGTGACTGTTGGTCAGGTGACATGGCTTCACTGAAAACAAGTAATGATCAGCGCCGGGTGAGATTGACTTTATTTATCCCAAATGTTCAATAAACACAAAAAATGAAATGAACAGAATAAAATCACTGAAAAAGAAAAAAATCCTCATTAAATTAACTTTAAAATTAAATTAATTAATTTTTAATTTCTTTTTGATATTTGGGCTCATTGGGACCCGATGAATGTAAAAACAAAGAATTACAAGGTTTTGGGGTTTTTCTGGGTTTTTTTTAACCTGATTTTTGTTTCTAAGAAAAATCAGAGCCACATATGAGGATATTCGTTTAAAATGTTGATAGAACAGTAGCAGTATAATGTCCTTGTAAGTGGATATCAGGCCCTTGTAGAGCAAAATTGAGTATTTTAGTCTAAATAACCCAAAATGTGATGTCCACATATGTGGACGCCAGGTCCTAGGAGGTTAAAAAAAAAAAGTCCCTGTGAAGTAAAATGACTCATTAAACACATTCAGACAAAATTAGAGTCAAAGTTTCTCACTCTGTCTGTGTCTGTGCGCACAGATCGTTTTGTCCTCTCCAATCAATAACCGATCATTAACATAATCAGTGTCCTGAACACGTCACAGCCATGCGAGTCCATGCGACTGATAGCCGAGAGCATGAAGCTGTCGCGGTTTCCTCCACATCTGTGCGGGCGTGTCTGCGGGCTCGGGCCCAGCCGAGCGCTGAGGTAATGCTGCTGCACCGAGCCTTCGTCATGATGGCATCCACCACCCAAAATGTTAAAAACATGTGTTTCTGCACATGCTCGGTACATGTGGTCAAGAAACATGAGGAGGGCAGGTGAAGAAGTGAAGAACGAAGAACAAACAAATCCAAATTATCCGGTTTAAACCTGCAGTTCCTGTGACGCCCACAGTGAGGCAGTGTGCACATCAAAGGGAGCTGAACATGTGTGTTTTTGGTCTCTGCAACTGACTCCCCCCCCCCCCCCCCCTCTTCATATCAGCTGTCCCCCACCACCAAACATAACGCAACAAGCTTTTCTTATTTGCTTGAAGGAGGAGAATTACAGCAGCCCCCGGTGGACGCGAGAGGAGCTGCAGTCTGTCAGGACGCTGATCATAAACACACTTATGAGTTTGTTCATTACTGAGGTGAAAAGGTGCCGCCTTCACCTGAGTAACAGGAAGTCCATGGGCCTCCTCCACGTCCCAGTTTTACGAGGAGAGGTAAAGTGTTCCAGTAAAACCAGTGTGGCCCTCCCTCGGACTAACAAGGCGTTCTTCAGGAGGAGGAGAGGAATCCTGACCTCAGATCAGCTCTGACGTGATCTCGTGTTGAAATGTTTACACCACGATCGGGTGATGAAATATCTCAGAATCACCTCGGAGAGAGTCTGACCTGCTCTGATCTGAGACGCACCCACAGGAAACACCTCTATCTGACTTTTATTTTGAAAATCTGAATGCCAAACATGTCGATAATTTCCTGGGGTCTTTTATTTTGATAAGTCAATATCTCGGTTGGGTTTTAATCATGTGACCTCTCTGTCTCCCCACAGGACCATCATGCACCTGAAGTCTTACCCGAAGCTCGTGCGTTCAGAGCTGCGTCTCGATGCGTCCGGCATTCAGACGGGGACGCAGCGGAGCAGTCTGTTTGTGAGCCAGCAGGGGGGGCTGCTCAGGACGTACACTGGTAACCATGGCAGCAGCAGCCGCTTCCCATTCAGTGTAATCTCCGCCAACACGCTGCGATGCCCAGCAAACGCCATCACAAGCAGCATGACGTCGCTCTGCCTCAAGACGCAGTCCGGCACCACCCTGCAGCACCTCCCACTGCTGCCGCCAGGCTGCGAGAACAACACGCCCAAACTGTTCCAGACTGCCGCTGAGGATGCTGACACGCCGCTGGATGTCTGGACCGTCATCAAACCCGGACACGTCCGCGAGAAGATCGCCATCTTTGTTTCAGAGAGGGGACGAGAAGATGGCGCCGGAGGTGGAGAGTGTGCTGCGAACAACAGGGACAGGGCGCCGGCACCATGCACCAACTACAGCGTTGGGACGGGGCTGTCACGAGCCGGGAAGGCAAAGGGCAGCTGGGATGAAAACTGTACCGCCAAACGGCGCCGCAGGTCCGGAAACACCCAAAATCTTCAGCAAGACCAGAGAGCTTGTGACCTCAGACCTGCTCCGCAGCGCCCGAACTCCGGTCAGCAGTGTGGTGGCGAACTGGGGACAGCAGAGGAGGCGGACCCGAAAGTGTCAGTGGTGGACATGGTGGCGTTTCTGGAGCAGAGAGTGAGTGAGCAGCAGCTGGACTCCAAACCTGTGCTCGCTCTCCAGAGGAGCTGCACCACCATCATGCTCTCCAAAGCCCCGCCCACCAAGCTCAGGGACGGCTCGGAGCACAGGGGGGAGGAGCCAGAAAGCATCAGAGTGTCAGATATGGTGGCGAGACTAGAGTCTGAGTGTCTTAGGCGGCGGGCAGAGGGCAACCTGTCGCGTAGCAACAGCCTGCGGAGGACAGCGGGGCGTGTGCTGCTCGCCGCTGCCACAGGTCACAGCTCCACCCCCAGCCAGCCTGCGTCACCATCATCACCTGCAGCTCAGTGTCTGAACAGGGAACCAGTCGGCTGTCTTCCGGCCTCAGCTTTGACCACGCCCCTTTCAGGTGAGCTGGTCAAGTCGGAGGAGGCTGCAGGTGTGGAGAGGGAGCGCACTGTAACAGAGACTCACCTTAAGGCCCCGCCCTCTGAGGAGGAGGAGCCTGTGCCTGGCTTATTGTTTTTGTCTCCAACACCTGAGAAATGCGAAGACTCCACCCCCTCCCCCACACACTCGGCACACCACCCCCCATGCCACAGAGCCACCTATGTGCTTCAACCTTTTAAGCCCTCCCCCTGCAGTACTGATAGCCAATCAGAGAAGACTAGGAGGAGAGGAACTGAGGATGCTGGCGTAGTTAGCAACCCTGCCTCGGCGCCTCTGGTGTGGCGTGCGTCGGCGTCGCAGGACTTCCTTGAGAAGCGTCAGCGGCTGCAGCAGCTGCTGGAGCCGCAGCCGTACTTGACAGCGCTGCCACACCACCTGCTCGTCAAGATCTTCCTACTGCTGCCGACGCAGAGCCTTGCCGCGCTCAAGTGCGCCTGCAGTTACTTCAAGTTCATCATCGAGAACTACGGCGTGCGGCCCGCTGACTCGCTGTGGGTGTCAGACCCCCGTTACCGTGACGACCCCTGCAAGCAGTGCAAGAAGCGTTACGGGCGCGGCGATGTGTCGTTGTGCCGCTGGCACCACAAGCCGTACTGCCAGGCGTTGCCGTATGGCCCAGGGTACTGGATGTGTTGCCATGGCGCCCGCAGGGACACGCCTGGCTGCAATGTGGGTCTCCATGACAACCGCTGGGTCCCGGCGTTCCACAGCATTAATGTGCCCATCTACCGCAGGAGTAACCATGACGACTGATTGTGAGTGTGTGCCGGGCAGAGGCTGTTTGTGCTCTTTGTGTGTGATGTCAGCAGCGTCCAATCAGAACGCTTTCACGCAGGATACCACGCCCACAAATCAAAAAGCCATGGAACTTTAAGCTGGATGATGTTTAGGTTAAAGATCTGGGCGAGAGGGCGGGGCTTGAGTCTGACAAACAGCTCCTCCAGCCATGATGCAACGGCACGCCGGTGCTCCGGCAGACGCAGTGACTGATTCCGATTATTGATTGCTGATCGATTAGATGTTTGAGCATCTCCCTGCGTCTGACGGAGCGCTGGCCTTGCGGCGCCGCCTGCTGCTCACCCCTCCCCCCCACAGCCTCCATGCTCTGATCTGCAGATCGATATCACTCACTGATCAGTGATCAGGTTTGGAGGAGGAGTCTCAGCCAGGACTCTTCCTCACTGGCTGGTTCTTGATCATCGTATTGATGAGGCTGAGTTATCGATAATATTTATTCAAATTCAGCCTTTATTCATTTATTTTTACAAACAGGAGCCGTACCTCCAAAATAATGCTGCGAGCCGTCTGACTTCCACTGTGATGTCACTTCCTTAATTAGAGCTAATTTGCATCTCAGAGGGATTGATTGGTCAAAAGGCCTGAAATCCTGAACTTTATTGATCACGATCACCAACAGAAAAAAAACTTCCTAACCGTGGGTTTCCTTCAACTTTTTATTTGAAAACAGAAGTTAAGTAAACTGCTTCATGTTTTTGCAGAGATGTATGACCCGATAATTAGTTTTTTTTTTTTTTTTTTTTTTTTTACACAGGAAGGGGTGGGTCTAACTGGTTAGCAACAGCTGAACTTTCAAAATAAGGGCACACAGAGTTATCTGATAGCAGCATCAAAGCGATGAAAAGTAAAAATATGACTCAGCAGCTGTCCGTCTGAGCAGCGTCTGGTGGGAGCAGAGCAGGTGGTCATCACGCGTCTCGCCCCCTTGTCCCATTTCCTGTCGTCAGAAACTTATAAATATATATTTCTTAAAACAGATGAAACTTTATTAGTCAGACGTCTGTAACCATGACGGAAATCCACCCGACACCTCCACGTCTGCACCAATCAGGATGGCTAAACTTTTCCTCCACCTCCCTCCCTCAGGGGCGGAGCCTAAAACAGCTGCATTGTCAATGCTCCCTCTGAGGTCATGCGCCAGTTTTTAAAGAAACTTTGTTTTATCACAGTAGAAGAAGTTTATTGATCATCATTATGTCTGATTGATTGGCCCCGCTGATCAATCAGCTGTTCAGGAATAATTGTGGGCGGGTCCTTGTTTTGACTTGTTTAAAATAAAATTTGGCTTCCTGAACTTTCTGCAGGTTTATCTGACCCTCTTACTGATCGATCAGCTGATTGGCTTATTGATTAAGCTTCATCTTTTTGATTCTGAGATGCAGAGGTTCCTGATGATCACCTGACTGATGGAGGCTGAGAGATGGGTGAGTGGGTGGAGCTTCAGGGGTCGACGACCTCTCTGTGCACCTTGTTTGTTTACATTTGAGTGTTTGTTTTTTTTTCCTGTGCGATCAGCTGATTGATAATCATTGATGAATCGAGGCCTTGAGCGTGGAGTCGGTGATTGAGAGTTTTAGAGTGTGTCGTTTGTCTGCTCCGTTTTTCTGTGCTTTAATAAAGAGCTTTTTTCATTGTTTCCTGTCTGTGTCGGTCCTTCCTTCGTTAACTTCTCGACCTCCGCAGGCAGCGGCCGTTCAGGGAAAGAAACTGTCAGTAATTCAAATGTTAAATTCACAAAGAGAAAGTTTGACTTTTATTTTTATTGATCCGCAGCTCGTTCAAAGGCACTAACAGGAAGTGGAATCAATCCACGCCACGTGAACGTTATTGATGAAGTTTTCAGTGACAGAACAATAAATTTTATTCTCAAAGTGAATAAAGAATCGTGGGAAACCATGGCTGGGCTGCTGATGACGACTCCAACGATGAAGGAGAGGAGCTTTAGTCAAATGTATTTTCTGACCAACTTTGACCTGCAAACACCACAGAAACAAAACTTCATTGGCCATGTGGCACTGTCGCTGTGATGTCACGTGGACCTTGTGACCTCACACAGAGCCTCCAGCAGTTGAAAGTAGTTGTACTTGATGTCGTAGTCCATGTCGTACCAGAAGTTCACTGCAGACAAGACGGGAGCGGACGTGTTTAGTGTGAATCTGATCGATTATCTGCTCGTGTCTGTCCATTATTGATCAAAGTAAAGTTAAACACAGCGTGGTACGTTCAGGTACCTGCGATGCAGCCATGTGACTGCTGTACGTGGTGGAACCACAGCGACGGCAAGTACAGCATCTCTCCGGCCTTCACGCTGCAGTGGAGCGGCCGCGCCCGCCGGTACTGCGGGAACCGCTCCAGGTCCGGGTTCAGTGGGTCCAGAGGGATCCATGGGACCTGGGAGGGGGAGTCATGGAGGTGTGTGGTTTGAAATGAGGTGCTGAGACTTAGGCTGCGTCCACACTAGCCCGGATAGATTTGAAAACATGATTTTCGTCTGAAAACGTTCCGCGCCCACACTTTCAGTTGTTTTCACAGGGTTGTGAAAACACTTGCGTTCCAGTCCTGCACAAAACTTGAGTGAGAATTAAAGGAACTGAAGAAAAGCTATGCAGCATGTACAAAGTGATTTTAGAAAGTCTGCGTTGTGTCCAACTACAACGGGACAGCTCTGTCGTGTTTTCAAAACGCTGCGTCTCAGTGAGGCCAAGACGGAGAGAAAACGTTGCGTTTTCAAACGAAGACGCATTAGTGTGGACGTAGCCTTACAAGAAAACCTGAACGCACCATCTCTGAGTCGCTCTGATCGATGACCTCGAACTCGCCGTCATCTCTCTGATGGTAAATGGCTGGTTGGAACAAACCTGGGGAGATAGTTACCATGGTTACCACAGGTGGATGGTTATTGCTCTAGAGAAGACTTGGTGGTTGCCATGGTTACCATAGGGGATGAAAGGGCGGTCTGTGGGCGGCATCAAAACAAAGTGTTTCTCTCCAGAGACGACGCAGTAAAGATTCTCGTAGTGATCTTTGTGCACTGAAACACAGAAACACGCATCAGCATCAACTCGCGTGCGTGTGTGTGAGAGTGAGTGAGTGAGTGAGCTCAAGGCGTGGGTCTCACTGGAGGTGATGGCGTTTGCCTCTCCGAGCCAAAAGTTCACAGCGTCCGGCAGCTTTCCTGAAAGGAGAAAACAGTAGGATAACAGTCAGATCAGCTGGTGGTCAAACTGGAGTGGGTCCCCCTCTGGGTCACACAGTTACTGTGGCAGGGACGACAGGAGGAGGAACATGGAGGGCAGTGTGTTATTCAAAAGCGGGGAGGGGGGGTCCTTCCCTACCATGATGATTTATTTTCCTCTGTAATCAAAACAGAAGCTGCTGGATCTGCTCCGCTGAGCTTTTTGATTTAGTAATTGATTTTAATTTCATTCAATAATTATTGTTATATCATAATAATTCAATTTCTTAGTGAAGGTTACAAATGATCTTCTTATGGCCTCTGACAGTGGACTCATCTCTTTGCTTGTCCTGCTAGACCTCAGTGCAGCGTTCGATACTGTCGACCATAATATCCTATTAGAGCGATTAGAACATGCTGTAGGTATTACAGGTACTGCGCTGCAGTGGTTTGTATCATATCTATCTAATAGACTCCAGTTTGTGCATGTAAATGGAGAGTCCTCTTCACACACTGAGGTTAATTATGGAGTTCGGCTGGACCTGTTTTCTCCGCAAAGGTGGAGATGGAGAGACCAGTTGACAGGAAACGCACTGAAACTGCTTCCTGTGAAGATCACCGTCATCACGCACACATCATTTTCACAGACTGGATTGTGATGCTCTCGACTTCCTGTGATGTTTGTGGATTCTGCAAATCTGTGAGAGACACTCTGATTGGTCAACATCGCAGACAGACTAACAGCTCACCGAGTGCCGTGCTCATCCAGGCAATGTGCGGCTGTACGTCAGCAGTGAGCTCGGGCAGCTCCTGCAGCAGGTTGGAGCACTGCTTCTGGACATAAAAGACTCCGCCCCCTTTGTCCACCTGCACATTCAATCAAGACAACTTTATTAGTAAGGTGGCATTCATGCAGGGCCATTCGGACAGCAGCGTGCAGTCTCACCTTCCCCTCGATGATGTCAAGAACAGAGGAGAAGCTCATCTGTCTCTCTTCAGGCATCACAAATCGATCTCCATTTACCGCGTCGGCGTAGCCATTTGGAGTCACTGCCACGCTTATAACCTTTGACCCCACCTTCTCCCTGCAGAGAAGAAAACGATCATGTGACATCTACACCTGACGAGGACAGCTGAGCGCCTTCGAGCCTGAAAATGATGATGCACGAGCTCCACAGAATATCTCTCTCTTATCTGGATGAACTAATCCTGATTTCATTTATTAGGAGCTGACCTGTTACCATAGTGACAGGGGTGGGCGGGGCTTGCTTACCTCAGATAGTCAGGGCTCCACTTGGCCAGGGCTGGCCAGTGGCTGAAGGCGTTGCGGATGATGCAGGGCTTGTTTGGAGCGATCCAGTCACGGTGGAACTGCAGCGGCTCAGGTGGCCCGTCCAGGTAGGGCACCGATTGGTTCAGGTACAGATCTGAAAAGTAATCAGTGATCAGCAATGCTGATTGATAAGCAAACACCTGAGATACATGGGTGGGTGGGGCACTGATGTCAGCATCGGTCATTCATATTATAATCATGTGAGCTTATTTCCTGTTTGCTCGGTAAAACTACATGATCACACCACAGCGACATTTAAGCTGAAACCATGGAAACGAATGAAAAACACATCTTACCCACCCACTCAGCAAAGTCTGCCCTGCAAAAGGAGGCCCCACCTCAGCCCCTGCCCTCCATTTTTAATCATCCAGACTTCTTTCGCTGACCTCTGACCAGCCTCTCAGCAGTGGAAGGATCTGCATGTTTGCACTACTATGCCTCCTTACTTGAATATTGTATATTGCATAGCTTTTTTTTTGTTATACGTAAAATTGTATTGTATTTATTTAAATTTTTACTTTTTAATTATTTTATTTGCATTTTTTAATCACTAGGGTTTGAGAGTAACAAAATTTCTATTCTCTGTATGTCCTGTACATGTGGCAGAATTGACAAATAAAGTTGACTTGACTTGACTTGATGTTGTCAGGTGTGTTTAAGAGACCAACGGCATCACGTGACAGGAAGCAGACGGCCAGGTTAGTTATTAATCTGCTGATGGGTGGGTCTGGATATACAGTCTGTAGTTTTATGACCCCTCCCCTCACAGCAGGGCAGGTGTGTCACATGTGTAATTCAACCAAACAGGTAAACATCAAACATTCAGCCCGATGACGAGCATGCGCTGTGAGCCGCTCTGAGTCGGATCTACTTTCTGTGGCAAAAGAAATAGGTGACAGCTTCGGCTCTGGGACTATCTGTGATCAATGCTCGGATCGGTGCTGTGAGCCTCACCGTGAGCCTCCTGTGAACACTCGGCCAGTCGATTCCTCACTGCTTCCATCCTGCAGCTGACTGATTATACCATCAGTTGATCGATGATCAACTCCTCCCCTCAGCAGCGACAATAACTGTCTGTATCGATACGTTTATCATCAATACTGCCGATCGCTTCTTTCCAAGCAGCGTGCTGCCATGCTGATTTGTTTACTTCCGGTGAGCATGCGCAGAGATTGAGGGTTCCTGCGCTGTTTGATGTGAGAGCAGGATTCCCCCTGCTGGCGGGAGGAGGGGCTGCAGCAGCACATAAGCAGTTATTGATCCAGAGCGCCGATAAATCCGCTGATCATGATCCAGATAATAATCAGGCATAAAATATTCAGTCCCAGCTGCTGCTCCGTGGCTCAGGCTGAGGCTCGCTGCCTGAGACACTTTATTGTCAGGTGGGAGCAGTAGCGGTTTCTCTTATGGGCCACATGGGCATTTGCCCAGGGCGGCATCACGGGCATCGGCCAAAAAAAGTTGCTCGTACTGATGCTGCCCCGACGTCATGCCAGCGAATTTTGGGAATGGCACCGATCGGTGTTCTTACGGCCTTTTGCTGGGAGTAAGGGCGCCCTCCGGTTGCGAGGAGCGCCCGCTGCAGGGAGGAGAGGGCGAGGCGGCGGGGGGGTTCTCTGAGTGGCTGGAGCAGCGCCTAATAACCAACTCGCAAAATAAGTAAGTACAATTTTATTTATATAGCACCTTTCAAGATAAAAATCACAAAGTGCTTCACAGAAGCTAAAACATAAAAATCAACCAAAAGCAAGTTTAAAAAGATGAGTTTTTAGCTGTTTTTTAAAAGCGACCACTGAGTCCACAGATCTCAGGCTCAAAGGGAGAG